GATTATAATCATAATAGCAGACGTAAATGAACAAGATATTCTAGACAAAATCAGACATTACTATAAGATGATTCATATCGACAATACTGGTCTGGTCGATCCTGCTCTGAAGAATGGGGATTACGAGATTATCTTTAAGGAAAAAGGATTTATTTGCACAGTCCAGAATAGATCAAGTACGACCTTGAAGATAGACTGGAATCAACATAATTTTCGCAAATTAATTTAGTGCAGGCGACTAGCTAGTTGTGAGGCTTGTGCAATGGATATATGCACTGTCATTTTGAAATTAAGGCAAGGAAATAATTACGTGGAAACAAGATGCCATTTTATTTTGGTAATACTGCTCAAATAATTTTTACTAATTGCAATATTAAATTGAACTGAATTACGTCTACTAATATGTATAATTAAGATTGAAAAAAATAATTTGCAGCGAGTTCAGCAAAGCCAAGGTAATATCAATCCGTTAACCGAGCATTTTAAACCACCACCAAAAAGAGATAGTAAAGCTACAATAAAATATCCTTGCTCTCAAAGATTTAACTTCCTAAAATAGCAGTACTTTATTATCTACTCTTCAAGTCTTTTTTTATGTCAGTACCATGATTTTTGCATAGTCTCTCTATTCTTACATACAAAGCCTTACTCTTTTAATTTAGAAGAGTCTCAAAGATAGTTTATTTAAGGCCATATTCTACGACAACGTTACAATACTTGTGCTTGCTTGATCTATTTGAACTAAATTGTATCTACTCTCTTTCTTATTACAGTGATTACTGACTACTTTTAAGACGTTGCTAATTTAATTTGGCCCGAGTAATGCATTATAAGACGTAACTGGACCAATATGAAATGTGTCTATTTAATTACTTAATTTAGACCGTATGTATTAAATATACAGTACTGTATGTCTATCGCTACGATGAAGGACAGGAAAATGATAGATAGATTGCAAGATCCGAGATTGAATATAGAATTAATTAGAGAATACATACTGGAAAGCATGGCTATCCGAGAGACGATATCCCTTTCCAGACATCCAATTACATACAACGAGAATCTGCGATCAGTGATCATTTAATGTTAGTAATAAATTGGACTATCTACAATTCAATGAATACATTGAATCAATCCAGCTCTGAATATACCGTTGAATATATAATGATGACATCCACCAGCAAATTGATCAACGTTTTGGTATCATCATGATATAATGGCTGCGATTTTCCAGCATCCAAGAATATACTGTATTTGAAGAATTGTTATAGTTTGTCCTTACCTTAGCGACTTAGGCTTAGTGTATTCTTATACGTGATTTTCTAAGCTAGCATTTCTACTAGTTTACGATCTGAAAATAATTAGAGTACAAATTATATCTGATAGCGTACCTAATGAATGGTTTATTGACTTTAGTATAGATCTAATGAGATCTGTAACAATGCCTATAAGTGAATAATAGTGTCTCGACTCAGCTTGGTATGAGGCTTTGTCTATCGCGTTTATATAGAAAAATACTACACCATAAGGCCAGACTATTAAAATATACGATTATAACTTCCTAATCATGTCAATCTCGATAAATAGTATTGCCATGGTTGATATTAGCAGGACTATATTAAATTTACATTTATTCAAGACTCGAGAACGATCTGTACTACATGTTGTAACGACGTAACGAAAGCAAGACTAAAAATCAAATTAAAGACTAATTTATAGTACTACTTGCAGAGGAATTGGATGGTAAAAAGTAGGTATTGACTACAGTATGTATAAGAACTGCAATTAGCCGCTAGTATGTAGCCGAATAAGGTGAGATAGTACACGATGGATGGATGGATCATACCATTCAGTCAGCATGCACTATATTAGTAGCACCAAATATATTTCTTTGCTTATAATTACACCAGTACGTACAGAGATCATGCAACGAAAGTTTACAAATTCCTGAATTTGCATAAAGGATTTTAGTAATTAGTTCTGATAGTTTTGCATACGATATTGTCGTAACTGCAGAATATAACGAGAGAGACATATCAACTATTTATAGATTTTGCTACAATAGAACAAGCGGTGTTGCTTTCTCAATCACGGCTGTATTGATATTTACGCTAAAGAATTTATGCTTAGTATGCTTACCAACGAAATATTAAATTTATTCTGAATAAAGCTAATATCAACGAAAGAGAGATGATTGCTATAATAAAAAATATCTTATCCGAGCATGAGTATGGAACTGATTCACTTTTCTACATCATTCATGCCCATTGTAGAGACCAGAAATTTCAAATACTTTGCTATATTCGGTATCATAAGATTATTGATACGATTGCAAAGCTTTTAATAATTTAGAAATAGATTAGGGACAAAGCTAGAAATAAGCTAGCTAAAGGATATTTTCACCTTATATGTTTAAAATGAATTTAATAATTAATATGGAATGTTAGTTTACATTATGCAGGAATAAACACAAGATCATCAGACTGTCGTCTAGCAGTTTGCTAATCTTTAGAAAATTTTCATTTAGTATATTTGTGAATAAATGTAGACAGTACATATATACTGTATATCAATTAATGAATATATTACTTGCAAGAATATTATAACAGTAACGAAGAAATACTGACTAACATTAAACAGATGTTTAGATAATTTCATTTAAGTACCGTGCCTCATTGATAATATAATTAGTCTTCGTTCTCCAACATCAAAATCGGAAATTAAAATTTCAATATGGATGGCATTGCTTTACAGCTTACCAGAATTCTTTGCATTTGATTATTATCCTACGTATTGTAGCATCCTAAATTATTAATAATTATTAATCTATTATATAAACGTAGTCGCATTCCTTCCTCTTCGAAACAATTAAGTAATTATTTTAAGCCATTATAAAGTCTATCCCTCTCAATAGGTAAAGTACTTCTATTTGTCTGATATCCATTGAAAATTTAAATTAAATTATTACACTGGCATGATTTTCGTTAGAATCTATAATGGACCTTAATTAATTATAACTAACATTCAATATTATATTTTGTGCCTATAAGAAAAATTTTTGCATTTACATAATGATTTAACTTTTGGCTAATAAAGCAAATTACTTTACGCATATAACGAGAGATAATTTCGTCGGTTTATGATAAATATTTCTTAACGTATATTTTAAATACATATAAGTCTGTTCAAATATATACCTATAGATATTTTGTCTTTCACTATCACAGTTGCTGCATACTTTTGCGATAATTTTAATTTAATTGTGGCAATCAGCAGTCAAGATGCAATTGGCGGCCACTAATATGATATGTATATAACAATCAATGTCGCCGCTGTTATGGGCAACAATAGGCATTCTTTTGGTCAAGCTATCTATTTTATACCTGGCTTGGAAAGACGTGCCATGACTAGCCTTACGATACAAGAAACCAATTAGTACTTATAGTTAATGTTAGTTTAGTCCGCAAGACCACTTCTGTATACCGTAACTCAAACACACACACACAAAACAATTTTATTGATCATTATCTCACTTATATACTCCATCTGTCGTTATAAACATATTAACTACGTTATCAGCATCTTTTAAACAACAAGTATGCTATTATAGTTAAGTTATCATACATAGGTCATTGTAGGAATAAACAATTTGATACATACGTACGTCTCAACTGCGAGCTCTTTCGAGCTCCTATATTTTATATACCTATTTGAGATTTATTACTATTCTGTTATAATATCATAATATCTAAGTTTTTTTTGTGTCTGTGATAAGACGATACTAATGCTAATACGTGGCGGTATAAATTATTCTAAAGGACAAATACGAGTGAGTAAACAAAATAATCAGCATTTTACTTAATTATCATTCTTAATCCAATCAATCATAGCTATAAATGCGATAATACGACACAGTTGACAGTTGGCGTAAGCGATCATTCTGAGTCCAGGGGATTAATTTGTACACCAATCTATCCATCTGGTTTTGGTAATAATATAATTCTCCACTTTTAAGTACATACGTATATGATGTGCAATATCCTCCTATTTTTTAGATTGGCTCACTCAACTCCATTTAACCATTCGCGCGCATTATACTTTGGTATTGGTTGCATTCAATTAAGTTATTATTTCTCCAAAATAACAGCTTCTAGACTAATATTATTAGATATAACTATACAACATTACAAGCTTAAATTTCAACAGTAATTACAATTCTTCCGCTTTGAGCCTTTCAATTCTTTTGTATTATATCTTCTTACTTACTTTATATAGCGATGACTCTAACCCTAACCCTAACATATGGTCTGATATTTTTGAATGGTTTCTAATAGGCGGTGCTTTACTCTAACATTATATTGGCGTAGTTTGGCAGGGTAGTGTAGTAGTTTCGACTATTGGATACTTTTGTCTCGCATACTCCTAAGTGAAATGACATTATCATCTATGTTTGCTAATAAGAGGATTTCGTATATTCGGCAGGCGCATTTATTGTGCTTGCATTAAGCATGTGCATGCAATGCAGTTTACTTTCTTGAAAGGCATTTAAGAATTTTTTCAAAAGTTCCTGATTTGAACAGGCAACAATCTTTCGCCTTCGTATATTTTCTCGATTTTTTGGAAAATTGATATTTGTAGACAGTCTAATCTTTGAAATTATCGGCAATACGATATTTTATTGGTATAAGAAAGAAATTGTCATTAATTTTATTGTTTAAAGTTCGGTTAGCGCAATTCGCTTAGGTGTATTGAAAGTCTTCACAAGCTAGATTGGCGTCGAATTGTATCCTTTCTGGTTGAGGATTAATTTCAGCATTCGTTCAGTGTGTCATCCCTTAGACTCCTAAATTTCTGGAGAAATTCATAGATATATATTGCCAGAAAATACCGTACTATGTTCGAACTCGTGCAAATCCAACAGTAAGTTAATTTCCTTTTTTAGTTAAAACTCTAGTCGAACATCACTAGTAGCCAATCGATTTAATTCCGTTTTTACAGATATGAAATTAGAGAAAAATTTTCGATCTCCTTTCAATAATCAAAGAGATTTTCTCTTAAGTCATTTACTCCCTTATGATCCTAATAATAATAAAGCCAAAAAATTGGATAATGGTCTCCGTGAATATCTACTACTAATAATCGCTGCAGAACAAGCTTTAGAAATCGTAGCGAAGAAAGATATCAACAGGTTTGATCCACTTGTTGGAGAAAATGCTTGCCAAATTAGATCTCTTCAGATTGCCCTTATTTTCTTGAGATATCCAGTAGATAGCCAAGCTCTTCTATCGGAGATAAGCCGAGTCAAAATACATTGCCTAAACCTTATCGAAAATCTGGATCGGATAGTTAATAAAAGATCTATATCCGATTTATTCAAAAGTGATATTGAAATTCATTTAAACTTTAGCGAGTATTTTCTAATCCAATCTTACTTGCTTACAAAAGTGAAGATATCCAAGCCACCAAGTAAAGAAAATCCCCTAGTTTTGAACGAGTATACAGACATAAAAAAATTGGAGAAATTAGTCACATAGGATCTAAGTTTACTAATAAGCTTGTAAGCCATTTAAGACAAAGTTTGTCCGTACATTCAGTAGAGCTAATTCAAAGTTTGGCATATCAATTAGAAATGGATCAGACTGTAAAACAAATAATCTCAGCAGATTTTGTAATAATTCATCGCCATCTCAAGTGCTTGCCATGCTTTTGGGTCTGAAAAGTAATCATTCAAGCTGCTATTAAATACAAGATCCCTATAGTTTTACACGCTCAGCTCAAGAGCCAAGATAGAAATTATCAGATAGAAAACGAGATTTTTCTTTATTTTGATGCTACCTTAACTAGATATCAGAATGTACCCCTCATTTCCTTAAAAAAGGAAACCCCAGCCATTGTTCTAATAGGGAGTACAGCTAGAGATTTTAACAATCTTCCGTCAGTTCATGACTGGAAAAAGGAACTCATCGCATCAGGTCCTATTGATATATTTCTAGCTTGTGCAGCGACACATAAACAGTATCCCAATGAAATGGCAGGAGAAGAAATTTATAAAGACCAAATTCAGAACAAAGAATTCCAATTTTATCGAAAAAAAGCCTTTGAATGGGGATGCTGCCTACAAAATGCCTCCAGATTTTTCTGGTCTCATGTATACTGTGATAGTATCGAGAACATTTCTTTATCAAGCTTCGAAACTGCAGACAACTCTTGATTTAACATAGCAAACAAGAGATCGATTACCTTAGAAATGAATGTTTAGGCTATCTCATTTATATTATTATTTTATTTACCGATTTTTCAGATTGGAAAGAAAATAACTAGAATGGAAAATATTAGAAAAATTCTCGAAAATAAACGGAGAGCTCGTACACGTATACGCATAGAACCAGTTATAATGCAGTATGCTTAGAGTTAGAGCTAGCAGTGACATTGCTAACTATAGTAGTTAAACATTTACCTCCTTCTTAAATAATCGCTTATTCTTTTTCGCACTTATGATGCAATAAATTTAGATCTTTAATCGTCACGTTAGTTAACTATTTCCAACTACAATGTTCTTAAATAATTTATGTTTTTGCACTTCTAACTTAATCATTTTAATTCCTATAGTCGCATAAACGTCATATGCGGACACGAAAGTAACGAAATATTTGAACACGATGGGAATATTTTCCCTTAATGGTGCTGTAATTAAGACTATACAGTATGTCACTGTACACATGTTGTATGCATACATATAGATGTAACTCTATTGCATGAATTAATTATCGAAAGACTTGGGTTAATCGAATTATATAACTTTAATAGCGCTTCTACTGGTAGACCTCATTACCCACTGCAAAGTTCGAGTAACGTGCAATAAGCGTGCAGAGCCTCCTTCGTTTAATTGGCTATTTATTAGTTATTGCTAATTAAAGTTGTTTACTAGTTGTATCTATAGTAAACTATATAGCTTATTGAGGGTTGTTTCCCTATATGAACCATGCCAATGTTATGTTACTAAATTACCATGTGTACACCACAAGTTTGGTGGTATGGTATAAAAAGAGGAGCGAATGCTCAGCTTCTCAGTTCTTGATTCGATAGCATTTCGACTACTCTATTAATAAAAACTATGCTAAACTCTTAGAACAGTCTTATCCCTGTGTGACCGTAAGTAGTATAGGACTACCACACAGTAGGCCTCCAGGTGTAGTGGAGGTAGGAATAAGTAATCAATTAGTTTAGGGTAGTAGTTCTAAGTTAATTTTGTGGCAATTACAAATGAATGTCAATCTGACGTAATGATTAGCCATAAACGATAGACTAGGAATCGTATTTTTAGATATCGTATCAAAGGAGGTTAGTGTTTTTCTCCCGCCTATACAGTTAGTGCTTAATATCACTTACACAAAATGATTAGCCATAAGCGATAGACTAGGAATCGTATTTTTAGATCTCGTATCAAAGGAGCTTAGTGTTTTTTCTCCCGCCTATACAGTTAGTGCTTAATATCACTTACACAAGCATATGCGAGTATACTAGAATCGAAAAAATCAATTAAAATACTCGATGTCAACATATGATTCGATTTTGCTCTCTGGAATCGATGTAACAAGCAAAGTTCAAGACATTACTGGTTTCATTGCAGCTAATCAGACTCAATTAACAATTGTTCGATATAATAATCGCAGTTCTAAACATCAGAGTATAAAATAGAAAAGTATTTCATCAAATTGCTTATTTCTTAATACCTAATATAGAGACTAGGCCATCAACCGAAAAGTCAAAAGCCTTATTTATCGTAAGAATCTGCATCATATTATTAAGATGAAATTAGCATCAGTGGAGAATGAGAGGATGCTAGGATTAAACGAAGCTCGTAGTTACTTTCTAACTATACATTATTTTTGTAAAGCACAGTAGGCATTGTCTCATCAATGCATGCAATGCCAACTTGATCATTCTATACGTTATGATCTATCGCCGTTAGATGGTCTTAAATTCTAATTTCTATTGATGATAATAATAGTAATACTTTGCAAGGCGTTACTGGACCAATGTGAAATGCGTTTATTTATGTAATTTAGATCGTATGTATTACATACATATAACATATCTATCGTTGCGATGAAGGACAGGAAAATGATAGATGAATTGCAAGAAGTGAGATTGAATATAGAATTAGTCAGAGAATACCTACAGGAAAGCATAACTATCCAAGAGAAGATATCCTCTTCCAGACATCCAATTACATACAATGAGAATCTACGATCAGTGATTATTTACTGTTAGTAATAAATTGGAATATCTACAATTTAACAAATACATTGATTTAATCCAGCTCTGAATATACTGGTAAGTATAATAATGGCGACCACCAATAAGTTGATATGAATCTGTTGGTATCATCATGCAATGACTTTCCAGCATCCAAGAATGTACTGTATTTGAAGAATGGTTATAGTTTGTCCTTATTTTGGCGATGTAGGCTCAGTGTATTCTCAAATATGAGTTTCTAAGCTAGCGTTTCTACGAATTTGCGACCTGGAAATAATTAGAGTACTAATTGTATCTGATAGCGTACCAAATGATTGGTTTGTTGACCTTAGTATAGATCTAATAAGATCCCTATCAATGCCTATGAGCGAATAATAATGTCTCAGTCCAGCTTGGAATGAGTTCTTGTCCATCGCATTTATATAGAAAAATACTACAGCATTAGGCCAAACTATTGAAAAAATGTAATCTCCTCATGATGTCGTTCTCGAGAAATAGCATCGCCATTGTTGATATTAGCAGGACTATATTAAATTTACATTGATTCAAGACTCGAGGACGATACGTACTACATGTTGTAACGACGTAGTAGCGAAAGCAATGCTACTAATTCAAGACTAATTTATAGTACTGCTTGGAGAGGAATTGGATGGTAAAATGTATTTATTATAGTATGAAGGCTGTAATTAGCTACTGGTTTGTAGCGGGCTATTGCTAGTACCAGTTGTATTTCTATAGTTATAATGATGTTAGTGCATGCAAAGAATAAGCAGTGAAATATTGTAAATTCTTGCGTGAAGGATCTTGGTAAGTGATTCTGCTTGTGTTTAGATCCAGCATTGCTATAACTGCGAAGCATAACAAGCGAGATATGAACTAATTCAACTTATTTTTAGCTCAAGAATGGTACTGTGTGCTAATTAATGGTAGTCCTATTCAATTTTAATTTATGCAGGACTCTATCACGCTGCCATAAAGTGAGGTCATTGACTCTAAATTAAAGGCTGATTTTATTGTAATACTGTTATCTAAATTAGGTAGAAAATATTTTCTCAAAGCCTTAAATTAGGTATCAGGGTGTAGGCGATCATTTTAGCTAAGCTAGTTAAAAAAACAACACGTAATTTACATGCAGGTTTACTATATTAAATTTAGTATTAACTTCTTCAAGGCTTGAAGATAATCTTGTGCTATGTACTGTGACAACATATCAAGAGCACGGCAGTCAAGGTAGATTGTCCTATTAGCACTTAAAATTATCTAAAGAAGCGCAACTAAGTGCCGACATGTTGCTGAATAGAATAGAGTAGCCCTTGTACAATGAATGAATATTCAGGTTAGGTTGACCGTTTACATCATCTACATCAATTCGAAAATATTGTGGTCGAGCTTAAGCGCTTGCTGGTTGATGATATTCCACCGATTCCACGTTGTATGGATAATTTTTTTATTTTACCTGCCAAGACTAATTATGATGTCAATGTCCACTTGATGATGAAAGCGAATTGACTGATGATACGCAGCCAAGTAGAATGTTAAGATCATATTAATAGAGTTTTAAAATACAGCCATGATCTTTGTACCATCGCAGAGGTATTGGAAATTGTAAAGCTGTCATGGAATTGGATGATGAGTCATATTGACTTTGTCCGTTTATTAAACTATTCCTTACATGTCGATGGACTAGAATCAAAATGATTTCTTCATAAAATGAGCGTATCATCATGATTTCTTCATGAAATCAGCGTTTCTACTTCTGCAATTGAACAGCGAGCAGCGCTATTACTACGATAATTATATTATTGAATTATATTCGTAACATATGAATTCATTATGGACGAGTATCCCAATCTGTACTGTACTGTTGTACTATAAGCTTTCGTTCTTTAACCTTAAGGTACGCGCGTCATTGCTAGTAGTGCACTAATCAATGAGGTCATAGTTGTTTTTATGTATTTTATGCTTTTATTAATTAATTAATTAATAAGGTATCTCTCTTTCCAGCGTTACTATTGCCATTTACGAGTATTTTTACAGGATGATATCATAGCCCAATGACTTGTGACCAGTTATGGCATTCATTACAGGTCATGATGTCATCCTATTTTCCCATTGATTTCCTATACTATGTTATACAGTATGATATACTGTATAAATAATTTAATTGGAACATCCTAAGTGCTCCAATTAGATGTATCAAAATTCTATTCTGAAAATCGACCAAATGCGTACAATAATCCATCATTGGAATGATTCGAATCTATCGATACCTACAGTACTATAGTGTATAGTACTGTACTGTCAATTCTGTC